TTTAATAATGAAATAATTTATTTTTGATTTAATAATATAACATTTTATAAAGATAATAATTAAGTATTTTGTTAAAACTCAATAATTATCCTAATTATATTTTAGATTTTTTGTATTTAAAATGAGATGTTTATCCTGTATTTAATTATGTTTATCTGCAGTTAGTTACATGATTTTAAATATGAAGCTTTAATAAGTTATACTTACGCACAATTTACTTGTAATCTTGAGTTTTAAGTAACATGTATTAATAACTAGTACTTTATGCATAAAAAGAAATTTTTATCAAATGTTTAACAATATAGTATAGATATGGGATATTCGCAATTAATCGACTTTTTTTCTTCTTCCAAGAAATCGTTAATTTTCATCGAAATATTACATGGGTATTGATCATATTAATTTAAGTGAAATAGATATGTAAGGTGGCGTTTGTTTTTTAAGAGGTGCTGAAGTCTGAATTCACTTCTGATTTTTGAGAGGTTGTGCCGAAGTTTGAAATCTGAATCAGTCAGACTGTTTGTTTTTTTTAAATCTGAAGTTTGAAGATGAGAGATCGAGAGTTGATATGGATCGACAGTTGACAAAGTTGAGAGATAAGAGATTGAGACAGAAGAGTTGATCTAGAGCGCAAAGAGATCAGAGTAGGTAGACGACGATTTGAAATAAGAGGTAATAAGAGTTTTCTTAACCACTTAAATTTTCAGACCTAATAAGAGCTTTTAAGCTCTTAATTAAAAAAAAAAAAAAACACACTGAATCCTCTTATGTCTGACTGATTCAGACTTAAGGGAACATTAAAAGCTTTTTTATTAAAAACAAACAGCCCCTAAGTTATCTACAACATTAAATGTGATATTTGTAAACTATGAATAATGTTTTGAATCACATGTGATCTTATACATTTTAAATGTGGTCTGCTACACATCACAGATGATTCTGTTTCCATTATTTTTTTTTTCGATTTTTAATTTAAGTCATCGTTTCTCACTTGTTCTCTTTCGAATTAGGTGAAAACAAAGGCTCAAACAAAGAGGTTGGGTTGTTCACTTCACTTTTAATCATTACGATTAAGATTTTTTTAAGAAAAAAAGTCAATTAATTGTGAATCATAAGCGATTTCGAAGAAAATTGTAATTACGCTTATTTTAAATTAAATAAAAAAATAGAAATCATATTAAAATCACACAGATGATAAAAAGAAAATGTATCTTTTATAAGTAAGGCACTGTTTGACAAAAATAAACTAGCTTATTTTCTGGGTACACGTTTAAATGCACACAAGCTATCTTATTAAAACGCTACTTGGAATAATGTTTTGATAGTTTATTCACTTTTTCCAATTATAACTCCCATTAATTATTATTTATTACTACTAGTTATAAATAAATATTAATTAAT